GACCGAAACGGGGTTTTTGCTTTCGAATTTTATCTTTTAAATAAAATAAACCGAGCAATGCTTCAATTAAATTCTTCTGAAACTGTCCCTTTTATCACACCTACAATTCAAGATAACTTTAAACATGTTTCATACAATTTTTATTGGTTTATATCTTTCTGATTTAATTCTCTCATTTACTCTTTCTCATGTATCACGAGCAAACCATCTATGGACTTCATGGCAATCAAGATTACATGGTTCCTTTAACTAACATGCGACGTCCTAGTGCTAAACTATCTCGGGGTATCGGGAGGCATGGATCGAACACGGGATTTTTGTTTTCAAAATTTGTCTTTTTTCTTTACAAAAATTCCTCTCATAAAGAAACTAGAACATCCAAGGATACTGCAAAGGTTTAAACAACTTCTGCCTTTTTGACTTATAATTCAAACCAACTTTAAGCAAGTTTATACGTTTTTACTAGCTACGTTTTACAATGTAACTTTCATAACTCTCGTGATGAAAGAGAGCCTCGATCCTTATACATTATAACTCTCTCGTCTTGAACGAAAGCATCCATGGGATTCATGGAAAAAAGGGATTATCTAAACATTTGTAATAGTTTCTACGAAAGATAACATTTATTAAGCCAAGCAATTTGTATCTTCTAAATTGAGCCTCGCTTTCAACCTTATGTTATAAAATTTTGATTAATTTTGGATTGTAAATTTTTTTTTATCTTACAATATTTTCATGATTCAATCTAGAAAGTTACTTCTTCTCTCGAGTAATTTTGCGATTAAACAGCACAATTTTTGGATTCAAAGGAATTCTTTGATCGCATAAAGACAGCCCTACAATTTATTACGAACCTAAGCATATATATGGCATTTTCAAATCACGTAAAAACTTTCCTTCACATGACCAAATTACCGTCTTTTTAAACGACGTAGGTAATAAACAGTTACCTTGACAGTTGAAGCAAACCCTCCTTTTACCAAGCATTCGCAACACCTCAAATTCATTCCGAATTTTTGAATTTCTCGCAGCGTAGCCGAAAGATTAGGCATCAAATCAAAATACTCATCTCCATCATCACAGCTATTTTCATTTTTACCGTGATCTTTCTCAGCGTCAAGCTTATCTGAAGTGATGTTATGGTTTAAACCGTGCGAAATGACATTTGAAGAGATAAAAGGATGTCCACTAAGCTGCTGTGCTAAGCATTGGTTACCGATCTCCGGAGGTAGACGTCTAAACAAAGTATATGTATACAGTACAAGTATAACTTTATTCAATTCATCCAAAGACCAAACTCTTTTTCCTTGACATTAGTTGACTTTTTAAAAAAAACGCCTAAAATATGTAACAATAGAAAAGCAAAAATGTCGAAACGCGTTGACTTGAATCATACCAATCGGCAAAAATTAGAGAAAAATAGCAAATAATAAGTCTTTATATATATTTATTGAGCTAAGCGAAAATTTTTCATATTTTTTTCATGTTTAGTTACTCATACATACAGTTAGCAAATGCAATAACCGAAAGTTTCTACCTGTGAATGAACGTGAACTAATCCTTCTATAATCTCACGGAGAAGCCGCCACATTTTCTGTTGGTCTATGTACTATCCCTCGTCAATAACATTCTTAGATATTCTTTTCGCAATACAACATCTGCATACGCAAAATTTGCAGAGTGCACTTTGTATCTTTTGCAAATCTCCTGTGATGATTGCTTTCACTTTCGAAACCAGATTTCGTCCAAAAGAAACGGACACTGGTAATACTTTTTACATATCTTTAGCAAGATCACGAGAGGTTCACACACCTATATATCACGTGAGCCAACGAGCTTGCAAAATGTATATGTGATTCATCGATATTTTTTGGAATCATTTGTGTTTTCATTGGTCATCGAGTCCTCATCAACTCTAGTGTACGCTAGGTGCTTTAAATACGTTGAATTTCATCAATCTATCTTGAACCTGGCGTCGTTGCTTATCCTCTGTCACGATTGCATTTTTGTTTAGCTTTGAAGTTTCATTGTCAAGTATTTATTCTACCTCAATCCATAAATTGTAATATCTGTCGCAAAAAAATTAGACCATTGTTTATGTACAAACAAAAGTCATTCAGAAAAACAAAAACATCTCTAACATGGTCACGGATATTACGAGTGGCCTAACAAAGTGTTGATGAATTTGATATGCATTTGTCAAAAACAAGTTTAAAAAGAGAAAGAGCATGCCAAAAATATATGATCAAAAATTTGCTAAGGGCATATACACAAGCAGTAAATTCAGCGTTCGCTCCGTTACAAATTAATCGAGATTCAATCTGAGAATGCGTAATCAACTCCACCTAATCTCCAAGTTTACGGTCATGGCAAGGACAAACTGTATGTACTAGTACAGATTATGGAGTAATTAGCTCGCTTAGTTACAAATTTTTAGATAAATCATTTGCGCATGCGCAGTCTGCTCGAGCATGTGCAGTCGACTGGACCAACTGTCTAAGTTCATGATCATGGCAACGTCCAACTGCATCTATCGGCACCGATTTTAAAATAAGTAGCATGTTTAATACCACTTAGTAGAGAATGATCGCGCATGCGTACGAGCATGCGCAGTCCATTCGACTAATTGTTCATAGTCATGACAACGACTAAGTAGATGCACTTGCACTACATTTGTGGCAATTAGCTCACTTCGTCGCAAAATATCAAAGAAATCATCTGCGCATGCGTACTAGTGACTTTGATAATACCACAACTTTCGTAAGCCTTGGAATTTTTGTATATATATAGAAAGCTAAAACTTCATATAGTAGATGTAAACTAGCAGTGGAAGCTATGTGCGATTAGGTATGCAGTGGCTTAGGGGCCCACACTTCGGTGGCGACCGCACTCCTGCGTACCCCGAGCAAAGCCTATCGCAGGTGATCTCGGGGTCTGATGGGCGGAAGCTTGCTATTGCATCTCCCAAGAAGGATAGCGTGGAGGGCCGAAATCTCCTACCGAGACGTTAACATGCGGCGTTCTAGTGCCTTGAGATTAAGAAGGTATCGGGAAGCATGGACCGAAACGGGTTTTTTGCTCGAATTTTATCTTTTTTAAATAAAATAAACCGAGCAATGCTTCAATTAAATTCTTCTGAAAGTGTCCCTTTTTATGACACTTACAATTCAAGATAACTTTAAACATGTTTCATACAATTTTTATTGGTTTATCTCTTTCTGATTTAATTCTCTCATTTACTCTTCTCATGTATCACGAGCAAACCATCCATGGACTTCATGGCAAACAAGATTATATGGTTCCTTTAACTAACATGCGACGTTCTAGTGCTAAACTATCTCGGGTATCGGGAGGCATGGATCGAACACGGATTTTATTTTCAAAATTTGTCTTTTTCTTTACAAAAATTCCTCTCATAAAAGAAACTAGAACATCCAAGGATACTGCAAAGGTTTAAACAACTTCTGCCTTTTGACTTATAATTCAAAACCAACTTTAAGCAAGTTTATACGTTTTTACTAGCTACGTTTTACAATGTAACTTTCTCATAACTCTCTCGTGATGAAAGAGAGCCTCGATCCTTATACATTATAACTCTCTCGTCTTGAACGAAAGCATCCATGGATTCATGGAAAAAGGGATTATCTAAACATTTGTAATAGTTTCTACGAAAGATAACATTTATTGCCAAGCAATTTGTATCTTCTAAATTGAGCCTCGCTTTCAACCTTATATTATAAAATTTGATTAATTTTGATTGTAAATTTTTTATCTTACAATATTTTCATGATTCAATCTAGAAAGTAACTTCTCTCGAGTAATTTTGTGATTAAACAGCATAAATTTTGGATTCAAAGGAATTCTTTGATCGCATAAAGACAGACGTACAATTTATTACGAACCTAAGCATATATATGGCATTTTCAAATCACGTAAAAACTTTCCTTCACATGACCAAATTACCGTCTCTTTAAACGACGTATGTAATAAACAGTTACCTTGACAGTTGAAGCAAACCCTCCTTTTACCACACTGTAAATTTTAAGGTGTTAATTTAACACTAAAAAGTCGTGTTAAATTAAAAGGTACAGAATAACACCATTTCGGGTGTTATTTTCTTACTGGTGTTAAATTAACACCGAGTTTGGTGCTAAAATAGCACCTATTCTTGGTGTTATTATAGCACTTTTTAAAGTGCTAATTTAGCCCTTAACGTCCGGTGTCAAAATGACACTTAAATTCGGTGTTATTTTGTAACCCTTTCTTATTGTTTTATGTAAGGCCAGTTAAACACGCGACAAAAATGCTAAGCATTAAATATATTTAAAAAAATCAAATGATTTATATGCATGTATTCACACATATAAATATATACAAAACATAAAACATACTATAAACAAGTCAATATATGAAACAAGTAAAGTTAAATGTATATATATATAACTAAATATATAAAACATCTTAGAAATACTACTATATTATAATCTCTCAAGCCCCAAACTTTTCACAAACTTTTGAACTGAAACCCTTTTCTTTGCATTTGCGGGCTTACCCATCAAAACTACTTCCAAAAGGGCATAAATGTTACAGGCCTTTGGTGTATACTCCATATTAAGTACATAAAATGTACCTAGAAGTAGTACTATAGACAATGAAATTTCTATATATTTTTTTGACAGATCTAAAAAAATTTGCCCTTCGGTAGCAATTACAAGGGGGTCCAGACTCCCCTAATTCTCCCGATCCAATTAGTCGTGGGTAGGTGGTGTTTGCTATTTCATCATCAAAAGAGTCATCTTCCTAAACAACAGCATAAACATAAACACAATTAGAATTATTAGGTCATTGAAAGTGAGACACAATATTGTCATGTCATGACAGTAATATAATTGTATTTTTATTAAAGCATACATAAAATTTTATCCATGCAGTTTTATATAGTTTCGATATCTATTACTTACGCAGCAGATCTTGAAAACTAAGCAATTTGCCGTGGATTTTCATTCAACACAACCTGAATAATCAATGCTGTAACTGCACTCCTTATATCTGCAAAATATACAACCAACTGATTAATATTTACAGTATACGCATTTTGCCATTGTAGATTTAAGTGCTCATGCTTTAAGATGAAACTCTACAGTGGTGGATCGAGCATAGAGTTTTTAGGGGGGCTTGGTTTTGTGAGCAACTAAAATCCGAATGTTAGAAACAAATAAATTCGCTAAATATTTTATCTATAATAATAGTAAATGTTCAGCGTTAATTAAAACTTAAAAGTCATGAAAAATGCCATTTTTTATCCCTCTATGCACCACGCTGTTGACGAGAGCTTAGAGAAGTGAGTACCCTGTGCACCCTCCCATAAATCCACCGCTGGAACTCTGTAAATGGACAGACTTAATTGAATACACATACCAGCTTCCTTATTAGGTTTTTGCAACAGCATGGCCTCCATGTCTGACATCAATATTTTTATGTGTTTGTTGTCACTATTGCCAGCCCATTTTATTACATTTTGAACCATATTATTGTAATGGATAACCATGTTGCTGGCTGCATTTTGGTCTGCCAAAATTCGACCAAATTCTGCTTTTACCTATTCCAGTTGCAAAAATACAAGTTACAAAAAAAAGCAAGTTTACTGCAAAAGATGTCAACTACAACTGGTAAAATTAGCTGCCCCATGATTTTGAGGATAGTTCTATGCAATAGTTCTGCTCAAAAAATATTTATTCTTACCTCTGAAACAAGCTGAAGAGCTGGATACTCAGTCAGTAGCTCATTCAACACTTTTGGTTCATTTATAAATTGTTGGCGCCGGTAGGGTAGGTCAACTCCATGAGCTCTTTAATTAGTCTATATCTTTTGTTTGTTTTCGTCATCTCGGTTACCATGGCTTTTTTATGTTCTTCGCACGTTTCTGCAGTCTCACCATTATCCATATCATAAACATCATACAGCTTACGTCTTTTCATTTGTGCTTCTGGCTGCTTTTGTGTAGTTTGAGACACACAAACAGATCTTGTTGTTGAATTTGTCTTCTTTCTACGCATGTTTTTGAATCGATTAGTGATTGCTTTCAACCATGACCCCTGTAACGAAGAAAGTTCATGCTGTACATTATAAGAGATAGCGAGCAAAGCTATAGGATTTCTTCTAAAGATTATCATATGCATTAAATAATATGAATATGACTTACTGTACCAGCTCCAAGTGAATCGACAAGAAAAGTATATTTTTCTACAATCATGAACGCCACTCTTTGTTTTTCTTCTCTGGATGGAAACATTGTATGAGCTTTAATAGAAGAACAAATGTCCCTAGTAAACTCATCCCTAAGGGTTCCATTAAGTTTTCCTGCTTCATTCACTCTTGGAGAAAACTGTAAAATACAAAAGATAAATTTTAACATCAGAATGTGACCTATTATGAGATATATTATTTAACATACAGAAATAGGAAGTTTAAAATCTTTTATCCAGTTCTTGTTCGGTTTCCTTTCTTCCACAAGTACAAAGCTTGGTGAAGGTTGATCACTCTTTTCAGATCCTATGGTATGTCGAGGTGTACTGGATGTTGTAGGTGACGGTGTGCCTGTTGACAAATGAGCTTCTTCAATTGACGCTGAAGAATTGCTGACATTGTCATTTATGGCAAAGGAATGACTAGTGGATAAAGCGATCTTCTGGGTGGATGGTTCAATGGTGGATGGAACATTTCTTAATGGTAGAAACTTGTCCAAGTTGTTAATCGTTGCCAATGCATTTTGATTCGTATAACTTGCCCTCCTTTTATGCCACATGCCTTCAACAGCTCATCAGATGTATTGTTTAAAATACCAGCTGAATCAAACTATTCAAGTACAAAAAATCAAAATTAAATTAAAAAGATATATATATGTTAATGACTGAGCGAGAGGTTCGTACAGGAGGATACTGGTCGAGTTGTTTTTTCGCTTCAAGCGAAAAAAGAACAGCCATTTGATGTTTGAATTGGGCTTTGACCAATCAGAACGCGCGTGAAATAAATGTAAAAATATTCGGACCGAAATATAAACGGTAAATAACGTATTTATTTCTTGTCAAGCGGTTATGGCCGTGTGAGAACTATCATCCAAAGCCATTGTTAAAAACGTTTTCCAAATAACTTTTTTAAATTACTAAAACAGCTTAATTTATTGGCTTTAACATTTGCCAGGATTCCGCAGACCGGAGTAAAAAAAATGAAGTAATTTATTCGAACATCAACTTAGCATGCTGCAATAATATTGATTTGGTATTTTTACTTCATAGTCTAATGTAGTTTGGAGCCACAGCAGTTGAGCTTTCACTCATAATGCTTGACGTCTTAGATTACTTAGTCATTTTTTATCTTTACATTTTATTTCCCTCAATAATTTTTCCCACTAAATTCAAGTATTGTTTTTTCGGTATGGAGTCCATATTTACCAAGCAGTGTTAACAAAAGCAACAAAAAGTCGTCTAGTCACAACGTCAACACGCAAAAATTCATGCACTCGTGCTAAATTTAATTTTATACACATACCTCTTCATCCTCAAGAATAGAAATTACACTGTCCTTTACCCCTGCCTTCTTAAGATTATCAAGCAACGTGGAATCCATCCGACCTTACACGTATAAAAATTTGTACAACACAAATACAAAAATTTCTACATGAAATATAAGCACGAGGAGAAATATGTGTCACAAGAAATTTCATAAGAAAATACATTCAAAAAAGCTTTGTATTTACCTTTTTAAAAGAAGGGAGAGCGTCGAAAGCAAATAACTTAAATCCAATGGCTCTGTTAGCCTGGTAATATTGACTTTTACGTTTAGTTCACAATAAAATATAATTTACAACGCTGCACAAACAGGTGAAATCACGATGAAAAGCATGAAATGAAATATGAAACAGTTTGACAGTGACAGTTGGCTATAAGCATTTTACCGCGTTTTTGCATATAGTCGCTAATATCACATTTCACACCATATATGGTAACAGAGTTGAGCCGGCACTCTCTTCAGAAGTGAATTGTATTCTTGAAGTGAATTATGTCATGGAGCGTCTATATCGATGTAATATTTGCCTAGAATTCGTTTCAGATTCTCTTCAATTACTAATAACACATATTGGCCGTGTTCATCGTGATGAACCAAATTTTCATGTTGTTTGTGGCATCGATGGTTGTGCCAGGACGTTTAAGAAATTTTTATCATTGAGAAATCACCTTATTCGAAAACATAACATCGTGCGCAATACGAGGAACAGCGCAGAGTTGAATACTGATAGGGGAAACGACGATGCTAATCAAAATCATGAGATTGATAATACAGACCCTGAACAGGGAGAAGAGTTTGACATTATGGCTGACCAGGACAATTTATCTAGAGCGAATGCTTTATGTTTGTTAAATTTCAAAGACAGAGGACGTGTACCTCAAACTGTTGTTGATTCCTTCGTTGAGAATGCTACGAAGGTTACTCAAACAAGCATTAACCTTTTAAATTCTGGTATAACTAGCTGCCTTAAAAACGCTGGGATTGACTTAAACAACCTACCAGAGGTGAATGAGTTATTTGATGAAGACAACCCAATCTCAAATCCTTTTGCTGGTATTGACCAAGAGTATCTCCAATATGAATACTACAAGAAGGAGTTTAATCTTGTGGTAAGTTGTAAAATTGGTTTAGAAATTTATAAAAAAAGTAATCAAAATTTTACAATCAATATTTCACTTTTTAGGAACCACAAAAGATTGTTCTTGGAAAATACCACACAAAGAAAAGAAGAGGAAATAGATTGAGAGATGTCGAAAAAACAGATGATGCATACTATATTCCCTTGTTGGAAAGTCTGCAACAGCTTCTTAATGATGAGTCAATTCTTAACGAGGTTTGTGTTGATTACATGTGCATGTGATGTATGTATATAATTGTCCATTGAACACAATGCTGAATATAGAAAATTTTAATATTACCATTGCCTTAGCTTTGTTCTGCACATGACAGTATCCGATCCAATTTTGTGTAGGTGGAAAATCCTCATTTTGCAACAGTGATTTTTGTCTGATTATTGTGATGGTGAAGGCTTTAAAGAGCACCCACTATTCAGTAAAGATCCTTGGCATTGCAACTTCTTATTTATTTTGATGAAGTAGAAGTTTGTAACCCATTAGGATCAAGAGCTAACAAACATAAATTAGGTTAGTACCATAATTTAATTTAATGTGCTTGTAATTCCCATACTGTAGGTTTAAAAATGTCTATTTCATTAAATTTTCCGGTTACCTTTTGCATTTCATATAGCCGCTTTTTATTATACATTGGGCAATATACGCCCTGAACACCGGTCTCACCTCAATTCCATTCAACTACTTGGACTAGTGTCTAGTAAGCATCTCAAGATATATGGTGTGGAACCTGTGCTAAGAGCATTTCTTAGAGACCTTCAAAAATTAGAACAGGTATTGGACTAGTGTTGATGCATGTTTTTCATGTTTTGTTCTTTTAAGAACTCTAATAAATTAAGGAATAAATTAACTTTTTAGGTTGGTGGCTATGAGTTTATAATAAATAATCAGCGAAGATGCTTTGCAGGAACAATTGCATTTATATCTGGAGATAATCTTGGTTCACAATATCTTGGTGGGTTTAAGCAAGGATCACAGTCTTACAGAAAATGCAGAGTCTGTATGGGAAATGCTACAGAAATAACTGAAATGGTATATATAATGTAGCTACAGTAATGCTTAATTGACACTTGCCACTGCATCTATTGCATGGTTTATGCTTTCTCCATAGTATGTAAACTTTGAAAAATAAAAAGTACTTAGTTCATATAAAAGTGCTTTACTTCAGACAATGTGTTGGTTTACTTAATTTAAATGGTTTCAGTGGTAGATACTGTTTGTGCTTAGGGTGACTTAATTTAACTTATTTGTTTAGTTTCATGAGGATGACTTTGTTTTGCGAACAGTGCAAGGTTACAATGAGCAGTGTCAAAACTGGACCAAGGAGAGCATTTCAAAAACTTATGGCCTGAATCAGTTTTCTTTACTTAACAACTCAAAGTACTATCATGTCATTGGAGGACTCCCCCCAGATGCTATGCATGATATACTGGAAGGTGTGCTACAATACATTGTTAAAGAATTATTAAAAGAATTCATCTTTGAAAAGAGATACTTCAAACTAGACGACCTTAATAAAAGGATGCAGGCATTTGATTTTGGTTATCATAATGATACCAATAAACCTGCTCCAATTCAAGCCCAAAGACTTCTTTCATCAGACAATAGTTTAAAGCAGCACGGTACAGTAATGTCCTTTCCACTATTTTAAAATCCTTAAATTCTATATAGATCTATATACAGTATGTAACTATTTGATACCATAAGGTATTCTAAGGTCAGGGATCCCTAAAATGAAGTAATAAGCACACGTTCCCTCAGGAAGATAATTTGTGACGCTTTTCCGTCCTATTAGCAAATCAGATGTGGTGTCTTGGCTTACATTTGCCATTTCTTATTGGTGACCTTATAGAAGTAGATGATCAGCACTGGGGGTTACTCTGTACCTTACTTCAAATTGTTCGTATAAGTTTTACTCCAATTGTGAGCAGAGAGCAAGTTTCATATCTTCAAATACTCATTCAAAAGTTATTACAAAATTTTAAAGAATTGTTTCCAGAATGCAGTATCATTCCAAAGATGCACTACATGGTTCATATGCCAAGAGCAATACTTCAGTAAGTTTAGAATTCTGATTTACAATTACAAACCATGTGGCTTCAAAAACCTGCAGTTTTCAAAACTAATTTACAATTCTTTCTTGTATTCTGTATCAATTAACAGATTTGGGCCTCTTGTGCGAAGTTGGTGCATGCGCTACTGAAGCAAAACACCATTACTTTAAGAGGTTGGCAATAGTGATTGGTAATTTTATAAACCTACCATACTCGTTGGCAAAGAGGCACCAAGAAGGAGTTTGTTATCGCCTACAGTCTGCTGAAGGTGGAAATAGCACGTTTATTTGCAAAGGCACTGAAATTGGGCCAGGTGCATTTCTTAATGATTTCTTTCATTCAGATACAATATATAGTTATAGCTCAATGGTGCATCCATTATCCTGAGTTGGTTTTATTTTTATGTAAGCTACAGCTACAGTAATTAGAGAAACTTATGTTCGTCTTTCTGAAGGTAAAACATTATATGTTGGTGATGTTGAAGAGAGTGGGCTCATTCAACAGAATCTCCTGAAGTGAACAGACAAACACCATTGTATAGGTAAGTCAGATTGATGTAATTAGTCGAGTGACTGAAATATCTTCATTGTGAATGATGAAATTGCTTGAAATTGCTCTTTATTTACTTGCTTTTCAGTAAAGTTTATGTACACAATTAATTGCTGTGAACTAAATAATATTAATATTTTTCCTATTATAATTTTAGTACCAAATGGATTACTATCAATGGAACAAAATATAAAGTAGGAGCTACTGTCCACATTGGTTATGATGATGTTGAATTTCCCCAGTTTTGGGAAGTTATTGGTATTTATATCATTAACCAAAATGTTGCAAATGCCATGTTTGTTGTTTCAAGAAAACAGACTGTCAGGTTTTCTGAACATTATCAGGCTTATGAAGTTGCTCAGTCAAAACAGAAGGAAATTAAAATTAAATATTTTAAAGAGTTAACCTCACATTTGCCATTTAACTTGATAAAGCCATTTGGGTGTAACACAAAATACATTTGCCATAGATATGAAATAGATGTAGAATAAATTTTACTTTCCTGAACACAGCATATTCATGCATTATCGTAATGTATATATTATGGCCTTTCTAAAAGCTGATTATCTTTGGTATAAATTGTTCTATTTACTGTTTAACCTGTGTACTTATTATCAGTGAATGATTTATAGGGGCAGGTGCACAGGGGTGCTCACCCATCTATGTTCTGGTCAACACGGTTACATTTAGGTGTGCCAAAACGGTATTTCTTATTACTTTTAGGTTTTAAAGAACTCACAAAGCCAAGGTTCCCCCTATAAAATCCATGCTTAATCCAGCTCTGGTTAATATAACATATGTATTGCCGCTATTTTTTACGAAGTTTTTAAACTGTTTAAATGAACGCATAAGTCAACTGTTCTGTTATCCGTGTCAGAACGAAAACAGCTGCAGTTTGATATAAGTATAAAAATAAGTTAAAAAAACAGTTAAAATAAGTGTTATTTTGACACCCATGATTTTACAAGGAGAGTGGTGCAGAAATAACGCCCTTTATAAATTATTGTAACTCTTGCTAATGGTGTTAATTTAACACCAACCACTTAACACCAAAAAAACAGTGTTACTTTAGCACCTTTGTGGCAGAGCAAGGTGCTATTTCAGCACTATTAATTAGGTGTTAAAGTGTTGAGGTGTAAATTTGACACGCTACAATATGTTTAAGGTCATATGTTGTTAAATCAACACCAATATTGGTGTTATAATAACACCTTTTATTTAACACCACCGGTGGGTGTCAGTTTAGCACTAGAGAAAGTGCTAGTTCAACACCTCAAAAATAACAGTGCAAGCATTCGCAACACCTCAAATTCATTCCGAATTCTTGAATTTCTCGCAGCGTAGCCGAAAGATTAGGCATCAAATCAAAATACTCATCTCCATCATCACAGCTATGTTCATTTCTACCGTGATCTTTTTCAGCGTCAAGCTCATCTGAAGTGATGTTATTGTTTAAACCGTGCGAAATGACATTTGAAGGGATAAAAGGATGTCCACTAAGCTGCTGTGCTAAGCATTGGTTACCGATCTCCGGAGGTAGACGTCTAAACAAAGTATATGTATACAGTACAAGTATAACTTTATTCAATTCATCCAAAGACCAAACTCTTTTTCCTTGACGTTAGTTGACTTTTTAAAAAAAACGCCTAAAATATGTAACAATAGAAAAGCAAAAATATCGAAACGCGTTGACTTGAATCATACCAATCGGCAAAAATTAGAGAAAAATAGCAAATAATAAGTCTTTATATATATTTATTGAGCTAAGCGAAATTTTTTCATATTTTTTTCATGTTTAGTAACACATACATACAGTTATCAATTACAATAACCGAAAGTTTCTACCTGTGAATGAACGTGAACTAATCCTTCTATAATCTCACGGAGAAGCCGCCACATTCTCTGTTGGTCTATGTACTATCCCTCGTCAATAACATTCTTAGAGTACTCTTCTTACAATACAACATCTGCATACGCAAAATTTGCAGAGTGCACTTTGTATCTTTTTGCAAATCTCCTGTGATGATTGCTTCCTTTTCACTTTCGAAACCAGATTTCTCGTCCTAAAGAAACGGACACTGGTAATAATTTTTACATATCTTCAGCAACATCACGAGAGGTTCACACACCTATATATCACGTGAGCCAACGAGCTTGCAAAATGTATATGTGATTCATCGATATTTCTTTTGGAATCATTTGTGTTTTCATTGGTCATCGAGTCCTCATCAACTCTCTAGTGTACGCTAGGTGCTTTAAATACGTTGAATTTCATCAATCTATCTTGAACCTGGCGTCGTTGTTTATCCTCTGTCACGATTGCATTTTGTTTCGCTTTTGGAAGTGTCATTGTCAAGTATTTCTTCTACCTCAATCCATAAATTATAATATCTGTCGCAAAAAATTAGACCATTGTTTATGCACAAAATATGCAGATACAAAAGTCATGAAGAAAAACAAAAACATCTCTAACCTGGTCACGGATATTACGAGTGGCGTAACAAAGTGTTGATGAGTTTGATATGCATTTGTCAAAAACAAGCTTAAAAAGAGAAAGAGCATGCCAAAAATATATGATCAAAAATTTGCTAAGGGAATATAGACAAGCAGTAAATTCAGCGTTCGCTCCGTTACAAATTAATCGAGACTCAATCTGAGAATGCGTAATCAACTCCACCTAATCTCCAAGTTTACGGTCATGGCAAAGACAAACTGTATGTACTAGTACCGATTATGGAGTAATTAGCTCCCTTAGTCACAAATTTTCAGATAAATCATTTGCGCATGCGCAGTCTGCTTCAGCATGTGCAGTCGACTGGACCAACTGTCTAAGTTCATGATCATGGCAACGTCCAACTGCATCTATCGGCACCGATTTTAAAATAAGTAGCATGTTTAATACCAATTTAGTAGAGAAATGATCTGCGCATGCGCACGAGCATGCGCAGTCCACTCGACTAATTGTTCATAGTCATGACAACGACTAAGTAGATGCACTTGCACTACATTTGTGGCAATTAGCTCACTTCGTCGCAAAATATCAAAGAAATCATCTGCGCATGCGCACTAGTGACTTTGATAATACCACAACTTTCGTAAGCCTTTGAATTTTTGTATATATATAGAAAGCTAAAACTTCATATAGTAGATGTCAACTAGCAGTGGAAGCTGGGTGCGATTAGGTATGCAGTGGCTTAGGGGCCCACACTTCGGTGGCGACCGCACTCTCCCTGCGTACCCCGAGCAAAGCCTATCGCAGGTGATCTCGGGGTCTGATGGGCGGAAGCTTGCTATTGCATCTCCCAAGTAGGATAGCGTGGAGGGGCCGAAATCTCCTACCGAGACGTTAACATGCGGCGTTCTAGTGCCTTGAGATTAAGAAGGTATCGGGAAGCATGGACCGAAAACGGGGTTTTTTGCATTCGAATCTTATCTTTTTTAAATAAAATAAACCGAGCAATGCTTCAATTAAATTCTTCTGAAAGTGTGCCTTTTTATGACACTTACAATTCAAGATAACTTTAAACATGTTTCATACAATTTTTATTGGCTTATATCTTTCTGATTTAATTCTCTCATTTACTCTTTCTCATGTATCACGAGCAAACCATCTATGGACTTCATGGCAAACAATATTATATGGTCCTTTAACTAACATGCGACGTTCTAGTGCTAAACTATCTCGGGGTATCAGGAGGCATGGATCGAACACGGGATTTTTGCTTTCAAAATTTGTCTTTTTTCTTTACAAAAATTCCTCTCATAAAAGAAACTAGAACATCCAACGATACTGCAAAGGTTTAAACAACTTCTGCCTTTTTGACTTATAATTCAAACCAACTTTAAGCAAGTTTATACGTTTTTTACTAGTTATGTTTTACAATGTAACTTTGTCATAACTCTCTCGTGATGAAAGAGAGCCTCGATCCTTATACATTATAACTCTCTCGTCTTGAACGAAAGCATCCATGGATTCATGGAAAAAAGGGATTATCTAAACATTTGTAATAGTTTCTACAAAAGATAACATTTATTAAGTCAAGCAATTTGTATCTTCTAAATTTAGCCTCGCTTTAACCCTTATATTATAAAATTTTGATTAATTTTGGATTGTAAATTTTTTTTTATCTTACAATATTTTCATGATTCAATCTAGAAAGTAACTTCTTCTCTCGAGTAATTTTGCGATTAAACAGCACAATTTTTGGGATTCAAAGGAATTCTTTGATCGCATAAAGACAGCCGTACAATTTATTACGAACTAAAGCATATATATGGCATTTTCAAATCACGTAAAAACTTTCCTTCACTTGACCAAATTACCGTCTCTTTAAACGACGTATGTAATAAACAGTTACCTTGACAGTTGAAGCAAACCCTCCTTTTACCAAGCATTCGCAACAACTCAAATTCATTCCGAATTCTTGAATTTCTCGCAGCGTAGCCGAAAGATTAGGAATCAAATCAAAATACTCATCTCCATCATCACAGCTATTTTCATTTCTACCGTGATCTTTTTCAGCGTCAAGCTTATCTGAAGTGATGTTATTGTGTAAACCGTGCGAAATGACATTTGAAGAGATAAAAGGATGTCCATGAAGCTGCTGTGCTAAGCATTGGTTACTGATCTCCGGAGGTAGACGTCTAAACAAAGTATATGTATACAGTACAAGTATAACTTTATTCAATTCATCGAAAGACCAAACTCTTTTTCCTTGCCATTAGTTGACTTTTTAAAAAAAACCCCTAAATCATGTAACAATAGAAAAAAAAATGTCGAAACGCGTTGACTTGAATCATACCAATCGGCAAAAATTAGAGAAAAATAGCAAATAATAAGTCTTTATATATATTTATTGAGCTAAGCGAATTTTTTTCATATTTTTTTCATGTTTAGTTACTCATACATACAGTTAGCAAATACAATAACCGAAAGTTTCTACCTGTGAATGAACGTGAACTAATCCTTCTATAATCTCACGGAGTAGCCGCCACATTCTCTGTTGATCTATGTACTATCCCTCGTCAATAACATTCTTAGAGTACTCTTCTCGCAATACAACATCTGCATACGCAAAATTTGCAGAGTGCACTTTGTATCTTTTTGCAAATCTCCTGTGATGATTGCTTCCTTTTCACTTTTGAAACCAGATTTCTCGTCCTAAAGAAACGGACACTGGTAATAATTTTTACATATCTTCAGCAACATCACGAGAGGTTCACACACCTATATATCACGTGAGCCAACGAGCTTGCAAAATGTATATGTGATTCATCGATATTTCTTTTGGAATCATTTGTGTTTTCATTGGTCATCGAGTCCTCATCAACTCTCTAGTGTACGCTAGGTGCTTTAATTACGTTGAATTTCATCAATCTATCTTGAACCTGGCGTCGTTGTTTATCCTCTGTCACGATTGCATTTTGTTTCGCTTTTGGAAATTTCATTGTCAAGTATTTCTTCTACCTCAATCCATAAATTATAATATCTGTCGCAAAAAAATTAGACCATTGTTTATGCACAAAATATGCAAATGCAAAAGTCGTGCAGAAAAAAAAACATCTCTAACATGGTCACGGATATTACGAGTGGCGTAACAAAGTGTTGATGATTTTGATATGCATTTGTCAAAAACAAGCTTAAAAAGAGAAAGAGCATGCCAAAAATATATGATCAAAAATTTGCTAAGGGCATATGCACAAGCAGTAAATTCAGCGTTCGCTCCGTTACAAATTAATCGAGATTTAATCTGAGAATGCGTAATAAACTCCACCTAATCTCCAAGTTTACGGTCATGGCAAAGACAAACTATATGTACTAGTACCGATAATGGAGTAATTAGCTCGCTTAGTCACAAATTTTCAGATAAATCATTTGCGCATGCGCAGTCTTCTCAAGTATGTGCAGTCCACTGGACCAACTGTCTAAGTTCATGATCATGGCAACGTCCAACTGCATCTATCGTCACCGATTTTAAAATAAGTAGCATGTTTAATACCAATTTAGTAGAGAAATGATCTGCGCATGCGCACGAGCATGCGCAGTCCACTCGACTAATTGTTCATAGTCATGACGACGACTAAGTAGATGCACTTGCACTACATTTGTGGCAATTATCTCAATTCGTCGCAAAATATCAAAGAAATCATCTGCGCATGCGCACTAGTGACTTTGATAATACCACAACTTTCGTAAGCCTTTGAATTTTTGTATATATATAGAAAGCTAAAACTTCATATAGTAGATGTCAACTAGCAGTGGAAGCTGGGTGCGATTAGGTATGCAGTGGCTTAGGGGCCCACACTTCGGTGGCGACCGCACTCTCCCTGCGTACCCCGAGCAAAGCCTATCGCAGGTGATCTCGGGGTCTGATGGGCGGAAGCTTGCTATTGCATCTCCCAAGTAGGATAGCGTGGAGGGGCCGAAATCTCCTACCGAGACGTTAACATGCGGCGTTCTAGTGCCTTGAGATTAAGAAGGTATCGGGAAGCATGGACCGAAAACGGGGTTTTTTGCTTTCGAATTTTATCTTTTTTAAATAAAATAAACCGAGCAATGCTTCAATTAAATTCTTCTGAAAGTGTGCCTTTTTATGACACTTACAATTCAAGATAACTTTAAGCATGTTTCATACAATTCTTATTGGTTTATATCTTTCTGATTTAATTCTCTCAATTACTCTTTCTCATGTATCACGAGCAAACCATCCATGGACTTCATGGCAAACAAGATTATATGGTTCCTTTAACTAACATGCGACGTTCTAGTGCTAAACTATCTCGGGGTATCGGGAGGCATGGATCGAACACGGGATTTTTATTTTCAAAATTTGTCTTTTTTCTTTACAAAAAATTCCTCTCATAAAAGAAACTAGAACATCCAAGGATACTGCAAAGGTTTAAACAACTTCTGCCTTTTTGACTTATAATTCAAACCAACTTTAAGCAAGTTTATACGTTTTTTTCTAGTTACGTTTTACAATGAAACTTTCTCATAACTGTCTCGTGATGAAAGAGAGCCTCGATCCTTATACATTATAACTCTCTCGTCTTGAACGAAAGCATCCATGGATTCATGGAAAAAGGGATTATCTAAACATTTGTAATAGTTTCTACAAAAGATAACATTTATTAAGCCAAGCAATTTGTATCTTCTAAATTGAGCCTCGCTTTCAACCTTATGTTATAAAATTTGATTAATTTTGGATTGTAAATTTTTTATCTTACAATATTTTCATGATTCAATCTAGAAAGTAACTTCTTCTCTCGAGTAATTTTGCGATTAAACAGCACAATTTTGGATTCAAAGGAATTCTTTGATCGCATAAAGACAGCCGTACAATTTATTACCAACATAAGCGTATATATGGCATTTTCAAAACACGTAAAAACTTTCCTTCACATGAGCAAATTACCGTCTCTTTTAGTTTTAGAGTTTTTAGTTATAAATACGTCTAGGAAAGGTAATTTCTTGTTTTGTTATTTGTCCAAAGTAAGTTTAATGTTCTTGTGTTGTTGATTCATGTATTTGAAAAAGATAAGGCATCGCTTTCGTTATTGAAAATACCAAAAATATTGTATATGTAGCGTTTGTAAAAAGTTTTAGCTTCCCTTTACAAAGCTACACGACAGGACTCATAAAAACTCTTCTTCGTTGCATTATAGAAATCAACAACACACATACAGGCTATCAACGTGACCTAAATCAATTTATCGACATTCTAAATCGTAACTCATACGCCTTGCATTTCATAAACCAAGTAATAAAAACATATAACAACGACACTAACTCTAACACAATTAACAATGAACAAGACCACACACAAGCCAAACCACAAGTCCATTACTTCAAGCTACCTTACATTGACCACAAATCACAGAAAGAAAACTACATCACTTGGTCGGACGTTTCTGCCAAAACTTAGACATAAAACTAGTATTCTATTCTTTTAAAATCAAAAACTTCTTCCGCTTCAAAGACCCCATTCCTTTTCTCTTAAAATCCAATGTGCTTTACGAATTCTCTTGGCGGGATGTAATTTCGCTACATTGGCGAAACTAGCCGCCACCTCTCCACACGGATTAAAGAGCATACCACTTCCAACAAAACTTTCACATATTCAAACACCTCCTCTCATCACGTCATTACAAATATAAATACTCACAATCCTGCTTTCGTATATTAGACAGTGCCCGCACTCCTTCTTTAAAACTAAAAGAAGCACTGTACATCAAAAAACTTAAGCCTAATCTTAAAAAACAAATTCAATATGTCATTACTATCTTTAATTTGTAAATAACCTAACACCCCTAATCACAACGTAATTGTAAATAACTTTCGCTTTTCTCACTCGTCTATACACATGTCTTGTATCATATTTCTTTATATATAAATTCTATGTAAATATTTCATTCATTATACCGCACTGAAGATGGCATAACTTTGCCGAAACATGATGGCATAAGTTTGCCGAAACAGAATTTCAAAAGTGTTGGCGATTACGTTAATTGTATCATTTCAATCGTGCTATTACGAAATTATTGTAAGTAAATGTAACAAAAGCGTTGTTGAAATTAAGGTAAGTCTTCACTCGGACTTCAAAATGAAAAATTGTTATCCTTTTGCTAAAAGCGTTTATGAAATTTCATCCTCATAGGAAGATTGATATCTTTACGGAGGGGCATATTTATATATGCATGATATATTCTGTTGAAAACAATAGATTGCAAAGGAGGCTAATACCTAGTATCATGAATAAATAAATAAGAGCCCCCAGCGGTTATTGATTTTCTTACGCCCATGTATGAAATCAAACTTTATCACAGTTTTATGAATGCAATGTAAAAACACTAAACTTTCTCAATTTCTCCACTAAACTTATTTCACAACTGTTTTAATAGAATTGAGTTAATTTCTTTCTTTCTAAAGATATTTAACTTACCAAGCAAATGTCATGTTTTGACATCAAATTGCAAAATAACATTTAAAAAACCTTTAGTTTTTTTTTGCAAAGTTAATCCATTTAATTAACTATTACATACAAGGGCTTATTAAATATAGATTTTTGGAACAATTGCTAAATGAGTGAGAAAGTTTGATATTATCCTGCAAACTGTCTATGAAAACTACATGTCGTAATGTGAATTGTGCAATGTCGTTTCATAACAATGCTATTTGAATAATGACAAACATTATGTAAGCAGGTTTAATTATTACGTAAGTAGGGCAATCTCAAGAATGAATAGATTCTTATATTACAAACCCAAGTTATGTAATCGGATGTTGCCAAACTATTAAGAGTCGCGTAAGACGTAGTGGTCAAGATTGCATAACATTGCACGTGAAGAGTGCGAACAAAAGCTTCAAAGCAGACAATGGTCATATGGTCCTTT